AATTGAAGGTGGATTTAGAAAAGGAAAAGTGTTTCTTTGATGAATACATCCCAGAAGAACTAGAAAAGGTGATAAAGCAACAGCACAAGGTAATAGAATACCAGAAGAAAAATGACCATAAGAAACTATTTTCAATCTTAATTATTGTAGATGATTTCGCAGACTCAAAAAATTTCTCACGCAATAGTCCATTACTAAATCAACTGTATGTGCGCGGTCGTCATAATAGTATTTGTATAATAACAGCAACACAGAAGTATAATGCCTTAAGTCCCATTATTCGTGTGAATAGTAGGCAGGTATTCTTTTTCCGATTAAGGAACTATAAAGAAATAGAAACAATGGTAGAAGAATTAAGCGCCGTATTCATTAAGAAATCAACCGTAGCAGATGCTAAAAATCTCTCGGAAGCAAAGAAACTTTTATTAGAAGTATATAACATAGCAACCGAAGAACCGTATAGTTTTTTGTTTATAAATCTTAGGAAGCCTAATATTAATGATATGTTTTACAAAAGATTTGATGCTAAATTAGTAATTGATTAATAATGTTATAATCAAGAATATTATCAATCTAAATTAATGAATACGAACATAAGTTTATCGGTGGTAATTTGTAATATATTTTATCGCTCTTTGTTTCTTCTAGTTTTTCAATCCTTTCTATACAGTCTTTTAAAGTATTGAATAGTAAAATATCGGTTTTAGTTTTTTCCATTAATATCTAATTCTTTTATTTGTTTCATATTTTCAGTAGCAGAAGATTTAGAGCATTTAGAACCCATATATACCAATATTTAGATAAATATTTTAATCGCTATCGCTTTTTCCTTTCCCTCTTCCCTTCAACTTCTTCACTTCTTTTTCCAGAATATGGTTTTTCTATGGGGGTGTGGGTGTATGGGGTTGAGGTTGGGAGTTTTCTATGTGGGCCTTCCTATGGGTCTTCTGGTGGTTCCATGGTATGGGTCTTGCTATGGGTCTTTTGGTGAGTTTAGGGTTGAGGTATAGGTTATGGCTTTGGGTATTCCGGTGGGTCTTTCCTATGGGTCTTTCGGTGGGTTTAGGGTTGAGGTATAGGTTGTTATGGTTTGGCTGCTAGGGGGGTGGGCATGGTTAGAAAATGGAAATGATAAAACATTATAGCTATTGTAGCTAAAATACTTAAGGATACCATTTCCATTTTCTAGGGTTAGGGATTTCGGGTTGGGTAATATGGGTTTTCTATGCGGTGGGTCATACTATGGAATTAAGTATACTATTTTCTATGTGGGTCTTCATATAGGTTCCGTGTTAGGGATTTTTCTATGGGTATCTTGGTGAGGCTAGGGTTGAGGTATAGGTTGTTATGGTTTGGGTGCTAGGGGGATGTGCATGGTTAGTAAATGGAAATGGTATCCATTAACTCTATCGCCATTCAGCCCACCCCTCCTTACGCATGAGTCCAAAGTGCGTCGCAGACATGGCATCGGAATGGTCGCGACGCAGGTGCGAGATATGAAGGTTTCGCTTCGAAAGCAAGAATCCCTACGTACTGTGCCATCGCCCTCGTTGTCACGCGCCGACGTTCCGGGTCAACATAACATTGGCCGTATGTCTATCAAGCAAGCAGGGGGTGGCAACTGTGGAAGCCAAACCGTGAAACTATGAGCTACCAATGCTACCAATCATAAGCCCAGAGCATCCCAGAACCCCTGATTCTCCACTCTCCGGTTTCCGACCCCACTCTCTCTCGACTCCTCTCAGAAACCTGTGCAGAACTCACCCTCACCCGGGCCTGAGATGCCCCGAGCTTTGATAATCTGGTTGGCTTTCCGTTTCCACATGTCAAAGGCCTGCGTCTCAATCAGGACAAAGCTTGGCGAGGATGCAATTTGTGGATTGATATTCTGGCGTGCTCGAAGGCTCGAAGCCTATGAGGGATCTAGTGTTGATTCTTGAGCTGACTTTCTGAGCGGAGTTCATCCCCTCACTATCAGAAACACTGCCCATCGTCCTGATGGCATGCCGACCCTAAGTTTTACTCGGCTTCGTTCGCCGTCTGGTGTGCCACTGCCGCGTTCGAGAAGTCTTTGCAAACAAACCTTGCCTGACGTGTTCTCAGGGCCGTGAGCTCACGATCCCACATCCTTGGCGCTTGCAGGCACAAGGAAAAGAACAGCTGCCTTGAGGTTCTTGCCTTCAACTCCAACCCGGTTCCTCGCACCAACTCTACCGGGCACCATCTTCACACTCTGGCTCCGCCGGGTTTTTACTGGACTTCCGAACTCACGAAAAGAGAAGCGCATCCTCAGCCAGGAATCCAAAGGGCCACCGACATGATCGGATCCTTGGCGAGCTCCTGTGTCTTGCTTCTCAGAATCTCCATCTCAAGGAATGCTCTTTCAGTCTTCGGGCAAGGGGTACCTACTGCTATCAGCCATCGAACTCCCGAATCTACGAGCTGGGGATACGAAACGCTACATAAACTTCCTCTTCCCTGCAGCAATTAACTGTTTTTGAACCCTAAAGCAAACGCCAGCATCAGGAATGCCTTGCCCTTGATCTGTCTGGTTGACACAGCACCTCAGCCCAAATCCGCGCCTTCTTGACATGCTTCTTCCAGTGCTTCATGTCCTCCAATCGCATCAGCGAGAACACTCTAGTTCTACCGAAGGAGTGGCCACATAGTGTAGCTGGTGTTTCGGCTTGCTTCTTTTTTCAGTTCAACATTATCAGCCAACCTTGCAATGCCCTCCTAGCAAACAAACACACTCCATATTTCGGCCGCACCACGCCGCACCTCTTCCGAATCCCCACCCAAAGCCTCAAAGCCTTTGCTGAACTTCCACTTCAGAAACGGCCTAACGAGCCCTTGAAGCCTCTTAGCCTCCTACTCCATCCCCACCTCCTCGCAGCGCTTTCTCTCCTGCGCCAATTCATCTTTCAGCTCCTTCGGGTGGGACTTGCGGTTTCCCAATGGGTTTCACAGCTTATTTCAGGGTCTGGTTTTCAAGAGCTCGCTCTCTTACTTTGTCTTTTTGGGCTCCAAGCATCGGACCCGAAGTCTCAGCCCGACATGGCTAGCATCCCAAACCCCTGTTCCCGGATGACACCGGAAATCAGCGGAACTCCCAAACACTGAACCTCTTGAACCCTGTCGAAGGCTGCCACCTGAAGCTCTTGCTGGTGCTCCGCAGTTTTCTCCAGAAGCACCTGGAGTCGCGTGGCCAACCACTCGGTTGAGGTCTCGGATTGAGCTTTGCAGGCTTATGGCCAAGCAATGCAGCAACTGCTGACACCCACTCAATCAACTAATCAATGCTAAAGCTGCTAATGGCTCGTTGGGGCGGGGGAGGGAGGGGGCGGAGCTCTGCCTTGTTGTAGTACGCGATCTCCTTCTTGGAGTTCGCCGCCTGAGCTGTTGAACCGCAGGCATCAGCCCCAGGAAAAGTGCCCGCTTCGCATCTGTGCGTCTAAGCCGAGAGCATCGACCGCACTTCATGGTGCTCATCACACCCGGTGCTGCATAGCACCTTCTGGAGGTGGCGCTCGGATGTTGGCACGCATGTGCGCATGGGTGGTGCGCGCGTGCACACGTGCGCGTGGTTTGCATCCTGTGTATCATCACTGCGTATTCTCCAGCACCACTTTCCACCAAATGATTAAGGGTCGAAAGAATGAGTTCGTTGTTGCAGAACCATGCCGAGACAGGCGCGTGTGCGCACGCACGCGCAAAGGAAAGCTCGAATACACGCTTGACGGTCACATCCTTTTTCCAGGGTCTCGCAGCAGTAGCTAGAGCTACCGCCTTGAATTTTGGGGGTCTGAACCCCAAAGCCCTGTAAATCTACACTCACAAGAGGAGATCGCCGAGGCACTACGAGCTTCAGTGAGCGAATCTCCTCCTGCGAGGTCACTTCCGCCTTGCTCAAGGCCTTGGGATCGGACTCTGAAGCTTCTGGGTGCACACAAAATCACATAAATGCTGCAGGAAGGGGGATGAATATGGACAGGGGTCGATGACGAAGCCCTAAGATAAGTCTTACAGGTGTTGCAGGTTGTAGGGCAAGCATCGTCCATGACTGACTGGGTGATTCAAGGCTCAGGGTTTTGGAGTCTTCAGGGTTTTGATGGCTTTGAGGCTCCTCATGCTGAGCTGGGTGGCTACTTCAACCGGGCTTTTGCAAGTTGCAAGCTCACAAACCCTTCTACTGAGTAGTGGCTGTTGCGACCAAGGAGCTTCCGGCAGCGGGCTGCCAGGAGGCCTTTGGGGCTGAGTGCTGCTAACTGTTCAGTTCGTTCGACATGAACCACACATGCCTTCTCGCCTCTCTTACGTGCACCCCATATAAGCTGTCGAATCGTGGGCTCTAGGAGTTAAAAGCCCCAAGAAACTGTCGCCCAAGAGCCCCTCCCATAAACGCAAACGGGCGGCGGGGATGTCTGCGTTGCGGCGCAGCTGACTTCATGCTCTCGGATGATGCTGCATTGCCTTGGTGGCTTTGCTTCATTCGGCCACAGGTCCAAGACGCAGGCCTAGTGCGAGCATTGCGCGTACGCAGCCTCGTCTCTTCTCAAGCTTATGGAGAAACGTTGTTGTGAGAAGAATCATATTGCCACTGCAACAATCACGACACAGCATGCCACGTTCGAGGCAACGGCTTCCCAATAAAAAAGTCCACACTCGAATGTGAACGGCTGGGACCTACAGAGTCTATGCCTTTTGAAGAAGTCGAATCTTTCAGCACCCTGTGGAATCGAGGCTCTGCCACTCCGGCGAATCCTCCAGCTCCTCAGGACACAGTGTACGCCCTTGCTACGTGCAGTTGCTCTCCAAATCCTCTCAGCACGCCGTCACAAAGCCAGAAGTTGGGTCTCCGTGTGTTGCTGGAAAGAGAGATTCTACAAGTAACAACCCTAAAGGGCCCCAAGTCCCTAGTTATGAAGGTAGAGTTGTGGTGAGATGGAATCATGATCAAGCTAGCTCAGCAGACCCACCAGACACTTCATCCCAATCTCCTAATCCGCGAACTGCAAACTTTCCTGAAAACCAGTATCCTGTTACCCTAAACCCCAAACCCTAAACCCCCAAAAGGCGCCTCCTGTCCATAGGGAGCTGGGGTCGGAGTGCCGCCAGTATCCGGAGGTGGCGATTGGGCCGGCGTGTAGGCCTCAAGCTTTCGAGCTTGTGAGCCCAACCGTACAACTCATCGGGATGCTTCAGGGCCTTCTTCTTCCTATTATTGTTATTATTCCGGTTGTGCTTATCCGCCGACCCCAGACGGGGCGGCGTCAGTGAAGACCCCCCCCCCAGCCCCCCCTCACCCCACACCCCCCTCACCCCGCCCATCCATGGCCCATGCCCTTCGACCCCCACCACCTACCCCTTCGCCCCCTCCCACCCCCCACCCCCTACCTCGTCCCCTTACCCTTCCACGAGTCTTAACACTTCAGTGCATGCCCCCTCACCCCCCCCCCCCCGCTCCCCCCCCCCACCCCCCCCCACGCCCCACACCCCCTTTCCCTTCCCTGGCCCCATGCCACCCCCCTTCGCACCCTTCCCCACCCTTACCCTTCTCACCTGCCACCCCATGTCATGATTTCAATTCAGGCCCGCCGCCCCCCTCTCACCGCTCTCACCCCCAACCCCCCTCCCACCCCCCCGCCCCTATTCCCCCCCCCCCCTTCCTCCCTGCTCCCCCCCACTTCCCCTCTAACCCCCCACTCCCCACCCCCCGCCCCCCCCACTCCCTGTCCTCTGCCTGTGGCCCCAAACTAACCCCCCCTCTACCCCCCCCTCTACTCCCCCCCCAACCCCCCCCTCGCCCCCACCCCTACACCCCCCCCTCTACCCCCCCTCCCCCCCTCTAAACCCCCCCCTCTACCCCCCCTAACCCCCCCCTCTAACCCCCCCCCCCCTCAACCAACCCCCCCCTCTCCCCCCTCTCCCCGCTCTCACCGCTCTCATCGCTCCGCTTCCCTATGTGCCCGAGTTACTCCCTAATCCAACACCAACCCTCACTCCCCCCTCCACAGTCACCCCCCCCCCACCCCGCCCTCCCAACACCTCGTCCCCTTACCCTTCCACAAGCCTTAAGGCTGCAGTGCATGCCCGCACCCCCCACCCCGCTCCGCCCCCCCACCCCCGCCCCGCCCCACACCCCCCTTTCCCTTCCCATGGCCCCATGCCCTTCGACCCCCCATCACCTACCCCCTTCGCCCCTTCCCACCCCTTACCCTTCCACGCCCCGCCCTCCCCCCAAACCCAGGATTTTCAACCCTCCCCCACTCTCACCCTCTCACCCTAAACCCCGACCCCCCCTCTACCACCCCCCCCCCCCCCCTTCCTCCTTCTCCCCCCCCCCCTCACCCCCCGCTCCCCCCCCCCGCCACCCCCCCCCAATCCCCTGTCCCCTCTGCCTTTAGCCCCCCAAATACCCCCGCCCTCTCCCCCCCTACCCCCCCCTCTAACCCCCCATCTACCCCCCCCTCTAACCCCCCCCTCTACCCCCCCCTCTACCCCCCTCTACCCCCCCCTCCCGTCCTCCGCCTGTAGGCCTAGCCCCACCCCCACAGCAAGGCAGCGAGGGGTGGGCGGGAGTGGGGCATGCACTGGAGCCCTTAAAACACGCCAGTCTGACAGCAAGGCAGCGGAGGGTCGGCGGGGGTGGGAAGGGCGGGGAGAGCGGGGGGGGCGGGGGGTGGGGGGTGGGTGGGGTGGGGGTGTGGGGGGTGGGGGTGGGGGGGCGTGGGGTGGGGGGGGGGTGACTGTGGAGGGGGGAGTGAGGGTTGGTGTTGGATTAGGGAGCAACTCGGACACATAGGGAAGCGGAGCGATGAGAGCGGTGAGAGCGGCGAGAGCAGTCAGGGCGGGCGTGAAATTGGCAGGAGCGGCGTAGGGGTGGGGAGGCCTACAGGCGGAGGACAGGGGAGTGGGGGGGAGGTGGGGGCGGGGAGGGGGGGGGGTAGAGGGGGGGGTAGAGGGGGGGG